GTGGCAACTGCCACCCCATGCCACCCCGGTAGATCCGCCTATGTTGATAAATCATGTAATGTGAAAGAAAGATGGCTGCCAAGGCTTTGGCGAATACAGTTAAAAGACTACAGGAAGTGATTCAGCTTAAATGTCACTATAATAAACCTTGATAACATACCTACATGTTAAAAGTGATGATTAATTATAATTATAATTAAGTCACAATTAATTAATTGTGACTTAATTATAATAATGTATGACTATTGGAATGTCTTACATTCCAATAGTATAACAAATACTATTGGAAAGATATTTTTTGAGTTGAATTAAGGTCTTTCATTTACATTTCTAAGAAAAACTCGAGTACTTTAAAAAACCGTACCTTTATTATTTTTTGTATCATATTGGTATCTGATATTATGGCAGTATTTGCCTTTATGACGACATCCGGTCGTGATTCGTGTGACGTGAAAAAAAGTGTTTCCATTGAGGATTTGCAAACTAAACCATCGTACCGCTAAAACTTGAAAGAAAAACAAGTCTTTTCTTTCGAAATTGCCGTTTTTCCATTAAGCAAATTTATTTTCAAAATGTCAACTTGTATGGTCAATGGAAATGCAGATGCTGTTTCTCCACAATAACTGACGCCATTGTTCTCAAGAAGCTAGCTTAAAAAAATAGTGACGCCGTGACAAAGACGGTTTCCTGCTCACCTGGTTTTCATCTGCTGTTACTTTACAGACCAGTCTACATATTGACCTCTGACATCGAGGCGGTTTTTGTCCGCCTCGATGTCAGAGGCAGAACAGCACTGCATATTTATGCATTTTCAGCCCATTTGGTTGTGTGTGAAAATCCCAGCAGGGCAGCAGATTCTGACATTCACCGCCATGATACTCGCCGCTATGTTTGCCTAATAACTTGTCCAATTAGTCATTAACCAAGGTCTGATGGCGTTGTTTCCACAGTGCTGTGTTTATTTTAACTGTGAGTTTGCGTTCTTCTTCCCCTGTTCTGTGCCTCCCATTCTGCTAACCAATTATTTCCCAGTTCACCCAGTCCTCCTCCCTGTTGAACCTTCTGCCACATTCCATCTGGATTCTCTTAATTGTTATTATTCGTGTCTCTGGCTTAATTCTGACCCTTCAGCTTGTGGTCATCCGGTTTGTCCGAATGATAATGGGCAGCTACGGCGCCTCATGGGGATTTTTTTATGCACTCAGTGTAAGTGGGTGGGAGGCTGGTTAACTGTGAGAATATTTTTTGGGTTTTTTCTTTTCCTTTTCCTCTCAATAAAACTTTGGAAGGTCATCTGGTACTCGGAAAACAACAACAAAAAAACACATTTAAAGATTGTCCAAGATTATAAAATACTCCATCCATTAAAAAGTCCTGCTTGGAATTTTTTTTCACCATGTAAAATGATGCCAGTAACACAGTGGAGAGGAAGTGAAATATTTTAACTTTTATTTTGTTTTTACACATATATTAACTAAATTCTCACTAGTAGTTAGAAAAGAATTAGAAGAGAATCCATAATTTTGAAAAGTTGCTGCAAACTTCACCAGCTTTGCTTTTTCTCCCGATTTCACTTTTAAAAGTTAACTGTTTAAGCAAAGAATTCTAAAGTACTTTTTGAGAACTGTAAATTTAATTTGTGCTTAAAAAAGTCTAAAAATATATTTAAAGTTCTATTGACTGCACTGAACTCCAATGTGTTTTAAGACAACTGCTAACGAACGCAACTCGGAGTGGAGTTTTGGTTCATACGGTGCTGATGTCATTTCCTGGGAGCCGATCTGATCATCCGTTCATCTTGATTAGACCTGACGACGGCAAAACTTCTTTACAAACCTTTCAGTTTAATTAACAAACATGCGGCGACAGTAGAGACACGAGACGGCACCTGGACGTCAACCGAGGGACGCCACGAATTCCAAACATTTTTAAAAACTCGTCCCGAATCCGTCGTAGGACACACGGCTTCTAGGATCTCTGCTGGATTCTGAGGCGTTCAAGTTCCCAGGAGTTTTGACGATACGTGTTTGTTTGACTCTGAGTTTTCCTGCTTCCTCTTTATCTTTTCACCTTTCCTCAGGGAACAGAAAGCGCTGCGCCATTCGCTCCAATGACAGGTTGGGTCTCTGCGTTCCTCGTGTCAAACGGACAAGGGAAATAAGGTTTTCATCCCCCCCCCCAACGCCTCGCAGTATGAATTAAAACTGTCAGAAGTCGTTTCACTGAACGCGTTCCGGTCCATTTTAAGAAACGACAAATCCTTTCAGCTGTTCCGGTGTTTTAAATTGTGACTCTCTTTTAAATATTAAATTGTTGCTGTGTTGACTATCACACTTTAGTGTCAAATTGTTTGCACTTTATGTATATTCCTAATGTTTTTTTGTTGTTGTTATTGCTGTCTAGTCCACTATCTGTGCTGCTGCCTTTCTTGACCAGGTCGTCCTTAAATGTCAGTGTATGAAGGACATCGTCATTTCTGCCAAAAAATCTGACAATTTGAGATTAACCTCCTAAACTCCAGAAGTTTTTTTTTCTAGAAAATGTCTGAGTTTGAAAAGTAAAATAAAAATGCTAGAAAAATCTCCAAAACGTTGAGATTAATCTCAGAATATTTCTTGAAAAAACCTGGGAATTTCTCAGCTTCAAAAGTCAAAACTTTTCGACTTTAAAAACTCAGGAATTTCCTTTTTTTTTCTAGAAATTTCAGAGCGTTTTTTGGCAGAAATTTACTCCATAAATACCCCTGTGAAAGATGCCTTTACCTCAAAGAGTTTTAAAAATGTGGCTAAATAAAGGTTTAATCTCCGTACTCAATTCTAGATTACGTCAAATCTGGCCTGGTTGACGCAGACGGACACTTTACCTTTTGCTTTTTTTCTTTAACAGATAAATATCTTTTAAAAAATTTGTCCAAAAAATAGATTCTCATTTATTAAAGATTTTACTTTTGGAGCAAGTAGGACCACAAACATTGACCTGCTTTTTTTTTTTTTTTTTCATCAAAAGCAAATCTTACTTCACAAATAAGAAAACAATGAGCCCCCCCCTCTCCCCCAGAAATGTAGAAACCTTAAGTCTTATTTATGTTTTATATCAACAATAATTTATAGATCAGTTTTCTACAAAAATCTGAATACTTTAATTTCTAATAAAATCGAAATGACTTTGTTTAGAAAGGCACCAAAAGTATGTTTTAAAAATGTTTTCCACTTAATGACTTTGTCCCTCGTGGTTAAAGGTTTGACCGTTTACAGTGTAAAGTATCTATAAGCTCTTAATGGTGATTCATTCAATCAGTTTGCTGTACATTGTTGCCATGGCGATGATGTTTCTCTGTAAATTAGTTGAAACACAAACGTGTAAACAAATGGAAGCGGTGTCTGTGTTTGTAAAGCTTGTTAGAGGTTTCGATGAGTCGGCGTTTATCTGCAGTTCACTGTGGTCCAGTTAAAGTCTCAGTACTTTGAGCAGTGAGATATATTTATTGCAAAAGGAAAAAAAAAGAGGTTAATTTAGAAATGAAACACTGAATGAAACCTGCTGTGAGCAGATTCAGAATGGATTTCTGCCTGTTGAATTTTTATTTATTTATTTTGACTCTTTTTGCCTGATTACAATCCTAAACTTAAATGTAATTTTTTGGGACTTTGTCACTGAGTAACTAGAAGTGGCAGATAAATGTGGGGAGGTTAGTACCTTCACTCTCTGATGCCCCTAAATAAAATCCACCTGCGTGTAATTCAATCTCTGCCTACACTGACAGGTGAAGACATAATGGTGCTGCTGAAAGCATTTTTATGTTGCAGGATGTCCTAGTCAAAGACCAAATAAAAATCTAACCAAAACTTTTGGGCAAGACTTGAACAGTTGTTGCTCACAGACACCATCAAACCAGTCTGAGAGAGCGTGAGCTGTTTTCACAGAATCGAAGGCAAAACATTTCAGTCTCGTTGTCTTCTTGTGAAAAAAGCAAAAAATGTTAAGCGATGTGTTTTTGTCCTGCACAATAAAACTCGTTGGAGTTTGTGGTCTTGTAACAGGACAAAATGTGACAAAATTAACTGAATATGAGGCGCTGTAGCTTTAAGAGGTTAATGCCAGATCAACAAAAGTGGCAAATTAAATTCCTTTTCCAAAAAGAAGCCAAAGAAAATAACCAGATAAAGTTAAATACTTTACCGCTTTTAATAAAACAGAAGTCCAAACCATATTCAACTGGTTTCATTGGCGACACATGACCTGCACCGATAACTCATGCCGCATTTCTTCAGACAAGATTTTCTGCATTCATGTTTGTTTTTCTCTTTGCCATTATGGCGCCAATACACTTTATTCAAAATAAAAGCATTGTGTTTAAACAAGTGAGTGATGCTAAACAATCCTTACAACAGCTTTTATTCCCATATATGCATTCTATTTAAAAAAAAAAAGACGTTTAGATTGATTCTATTACACATCCATTACCTTGAATACCATGAACTGTTCGGTATGTTGCTCTACCACACATGCTTGTAAATGAATCTTGTCATAGTTTAGTTGGTCTAGTTGCTTCTCCTGTTGGTCATTTAAGGCAAAAAACAAAATAAATGGTGGGGAGGTTGGAGTAGGAATGCTGAAGATAATGTGAGATGGATAAGGAAGCGTGGCGTTCAAGTTTTTGTTTAACATTAATAATGAAAGGATTTGGAGGCTCAGAAGGCAGAGAAGCAGAAGGAAACGTCTTGTTTTAACCGTCAGACATGCCTCACACTGAGCATCCTGTTTTTGGACCACACAGCTCTTTTTTTTTGTTTTTTTTTGTTTGCATGTTTAATCATATCTTCTTCAACGAGAAAACATTTTCCACTGCGGCCGTGAACAGTCGGAATAAGAAAAAGAGAAGTATATAAAATCTGGTTGTTATTATGCTAAAACATTCCAAATACATAATAAATAAAAATATGTATGAAATTATGCTTTTTTCTCTGGTTGAAGTCCACAGAAGAATCCAGAGGCCTGTCATTACTATCCGACAACTTTCTTCTGCTTTGCTTTTTTGTTGTTGTTGTTTTTTGCATTGTTCATCTGTGGTTTGAGTCTCGCAGCACGCTGTCGCTGTTGCTGCTGCTAAATATGACATCTTTTGATAAATATTTACACATAAACATCAATAATATAATGTGGGTCATTATACAGGTTATGTAAAAAAAAAAAGAAAAGAAGTCTGTTTATTTTCCCTCTGGTTCCAGTCTCAGTGCGAACGCGAAGCCGTCCGCTCTGCTTCCATCCGTCGGAGCCAGAGCTCTATAGCGGTCCGGTCCTGTCCGGTCCGGTCCTCTCAGACGTTGGTCTCCAGGCCGTTCATGTCCACAGAACAGTGGTCCTTGTCTCTGTGCTCTCGCTTGTGGTGCGGGCCGTGGCCGTGTTTCTTCTTCTCCACCGGCCGGATGCCCTCCTCCAGCTGGATCAGGCGGGCCACATCCGGGGACATGTGGTCCTGCCGGCTGCCCGGTGGCGGTGGCTGGTAGCAGCCGTTCTTTTGGTTCTGGTACGTCATCATCTGCTGGATGCTTATCATGGGTTTGGTTTCACAGATCAGAGGTACCTGAAGGAGAAATAAAAAACCAAAAAGCGACTGAATCGTTTCTTTAAATTGTCTACAGCAACGTTGTAAATATTTCTGAAGCTTTAAAGAGACTGTATTGTGTATTTTCCAGACATGTAGTGTAAGTTTGTAGCACAATAAGGTAGTTGTTTCCTTTAGTTGTTTTAAAAGTGCTTTATATAGAATATGACTTAAAAGAAATTAGACTTTGCAATTGGGCCTCTGTCTCTTTAAAAACTCCTGCTCTTTCTGAAACTCTGCCTCCAGGAAGTCATCACATCATGGCTCCTCTATTAACCCTTTAATAATATTTTTACCGGCATTTCACTGAGCAGTAGCTCCTATAATGAGCTCAAGAAATGTGTAGTTCCACCAGGTGTTTGCTAATTGCTTCTGGCTAGTCTGAAGGAGCTGAGTGGAAGAGTCTGTGTGACAGCCCAAGTGGATGTTGCCACCTCACTGTAGCAGGTTTCAGATTTTTTTTTTTTGAAAAACTTTTGGACTTTCTCCAACTTCCTGATATTAAAAACAGCTAACTTTTAGACATCTTCACTCAGTAAAACTCTGGCTCAGTTTGTGCCTTGAATTCAATTGAATTTATTAATTTGCATATGGGCAAATGTTGGATATTAACGGTTTCCATAAAGCCAGACCTAATTTGCAAAGCCTTGACCTTAGCTTGGCTTTTAGTTCCATAAATTCATTCACTCACACGTCACTTTGGAGCTACAAGCGGTCGCTCTGCACATGTAAACAAACAATTTTTTCCCACCTAAACCATTGGATATAATTGCATTTTTTCCCTTGTAGTCAAGTACCGGCATGAATATTTTAACTCGTCCTAAAAATCTCAAACTTTCTGAAAACTTTGTACCACAACCAATTAAGTTTTATTTTGGCTCTCATCCTGGCCGGTCCGCGCTACTGAAACGCAGATAATCAGAACCAGAGTAACTTTCAACAACCTCTTGCTTCAGATTTTAATTATTGGAGTAACATAACCACGTTGCCTTCCAGCGACTGTAAACAAATGATAGAAAAAGCTCAATTTTTGCTTTCTAATTTCTACACTGAAATGATTCGTCAAAGAACAAAAACAGGCATTTTCTGAAATATGCTCTCCTTTGCGGCTAATGGCTGTAGAACCTTCTGCAGCGTTTCTTCCTGCAGAATACAAATTCGTTTGGCCTTTTCTGGAGGTCGTATGGAGGAGCTACCAGCAGGACCGCGAGTGATGAAAGTAATATTTCTTGGTCTTTACAGCCTCCCACTGCTGCTGCTCTTTCTCTCAACAATCTGTGTGTTTACATATACCCTGCATCCCACCGAGGTAACCTTCCATCAGATGAAACTTTACTTTTTTTTCTTCTTCTTCCACATCCATATATCATATATTCCTCTTTCTTTAAAATAAAAACAAGACCGATGTTCAAGGTTTGTACCGTCCGAGTCGTATCAATCCAGCTTTTTCTCATGCTCACCTGCTCCCCCTCCTTGACGAAATCCTTTCTGCAGATGTGAGCCATGATGCCGGTAGCCAGAGCGTCGCCCATAACGTTGACCATGGTCCTGAATCGATCCCTGGACAACACAGTTAAAGGCCATTTGTTGCTACAGCTATTATACATGCATTTATGGCCATCACTGCACAGTATAGTTGCTTTGACACTGTCATTGCAGACATAATAGGAAAAAAATAAAAACATGTCGATGGTTGACAGTAATATGCCCAGATCCTCAGGGTTTCTGCAGGTTTCATTACCTCCAATTTAAGACTTTTTAAGACCACTGTGAATGAAAATTAAGACCTGTATTACCTCAGAAATGTATCAAAGAAGCAGCCTTAACCCTGTAGTGCCAAACTACAGAATGAATTTAACGTCTTGTGGATTAGCAAGACAAACAATCCAATGGCGAAGACGAATGTTGCCCAGCCAACTGGGGATAAATTTGCACATATACCATGGTGGACCCAAATAAGCAAGCTTGCTAGCTTTCTAGCTCAATTTTTTTTTCTTTTTTTTAGCTAGCCAGGTGTTTTTAGTCAGTTTTTGTCCTCCTTCTGTTTTCATTGCAGGAACCAGAACCAGAACCTTTGCTGCTAAGTTCTACTGTAGATGTAGAACTCGCATCTATTTTGTACGTAAGATCTACCTCTAAAGTAGATGTAGATGTTCTACACACATATATGTAGCTACGTTGAGGCTACCAGTAGCCTCAACAGCCTCCTGTCACAGAACACAATGATGAAGCAACTCAAACATTTGCCTAACAGAAAAGTCCCACTAGAATACCACATTAAATACTCCTGCCACCACAAAGTTTCAGACCTGTGATGAACATATTTAAGGCCAACTTACCCTTTCCTGATTAAATTCATTTAATTTTAAAGCCATAATTTTAGATGCATAAATTTAAGTCTTTAAGGATGTGTGGAGACCCTGTGGCTTCAACAAAGCCCTTCTGCGCCAACAGCGAGGTGCCCGTGTTGAAATGCTGGTTGGGTTTTCTGTCAATGTCAATGTGTTGCTCTGCTTCACAGCCTCACATCTTCACTTCTGGTGAAACTGTCTGGGGAGCCGGATGAGCCTGTTGGCAGCAGTGGCAATGTGTCCATTCTGTCGAGCTGGCAGACACCAGCATGACCTCATTTGTCAGACAATTTCAAGTTGGACCGGCTATGCTAACCTCATGCCAAGGCTACAACCAGGGATGCGCACAGATGAACACGAGGAGGTGCTAAAGCACTTGTTCTTTTTCTTTTTTTTCCCCTCTGGACAAAAAGAAAGTGCCCTTCTGAAATGTTTAATTTTTTTTTTTTTTTTTTTTTTTTAGTGTATTGTTTGCAACCCAAGAGAGCACACAGCTAGCAATAAATCAATGATGAACTAAAACAAACTCAATTTCTATTTGCAGGATTTATTGTTTTTCTTTTTTCTCTCTTTCTACTAAAAACTGGACGACCAAAGTCTTCAGTCTGGTGCTTTAGACCTTTTTTTTTTTGTGAAGGTCAATTTTGTTAACAGAAG